CAATATCTTGCGGTTGAGAAATGTGTCAAGGTCGAGCGGAACAATAATTTCCTGTTTTCTGTTAGCACGCCTTTTGAGCGTCTCTAACATAAACTCCGACTAGTGGTGATAGGGAGTATCTCTAGTGGTTTACTCAATCATTGTTCCGATTTCCGACTGGTTCGAGCTTTCTTGTCGACTGCCGCTGTCGAGTTTTGAATTGTTCCAGGCTCTGCTCCATAGGAATGGCCCTCTTCCAGCTCACAGAACACTTCCAATTTTACAGCCTCTGACATTCAATTTAATGGCCGTGTCTTCCTGAGAACATTCGTCAGAATCGTCTCTGAAAATTGTTTCTCTCAATTCGAATTCCTGTTTTTCATTTTGTGCCTCCCAGTCATCAAGAGTTCGTGTGGAAGTGAAACTGTGGCTTCAGAAGCCTGCCTCCAAACCAAGCTTTTTTAGTAGATCAGTCGCAGGGTCCGCTATTCTTGTCAGCAGCTTCAATTCCCTTCTATCTAGGGCATCTTCTGCCCTTACCTCAGCTTCGGCTAGGTCTTTCTTGATCACGTCTCGCCATCTCTTCTTTGAGACTCCTCGCACTCGCTTCCCTTGGGCCTCGAACTCCATTGCCTCCCTTATTGGATGGTTCGGTGATCTCCTCATTACGTGTCCGTACCATCGCAGGTGCTGTTCTTCCATCTTTAACTGTACAGAGGCTACTCGTATGACCGCTCTAAGTCCCCGTTTCTGATCCGGTCCAGTCGCGTTCAGCTGCAGGCCCTCCTGAGCATCCTAAACTCAGTTGAGTTGAGCTAACTTCCATGATTCCTACCTACGGGCCAATACTCACTGCCGTACATCATCGCGGGCCTCACCACTGTCCTGTCACCTTTCCTTCAAAGGACCTTCAGCACCGACGGTTAGGATACCAGTGGACTTCTTCCATTCCGTCCATATGCGGCATTTATTCGGGATTTCACCACCTGATCCAGTCCACTACCAGTGGTGCACGCTTGAGTAGTTCGAATAAATCGAGCGCATAGTTTTTGCTGTACAATTCCTCGATCACTCCTTAGACAGTCGTTGACCGAGTCAATCAAATGTGTCAGTAGGTCCGGGCACTTTTTGCATATTCCTTGAACGTTTTCTCGATTAGACTTAACACGACCATTTCGGCAACTTCGCTTTTTCATGTGTGTCCATCACTAATCCTTACGCTCTCGCAATGGGCTTTGCTACAGAAACATTCCTCAGCGTCACCAATCGTTGAGTGTCTTTCAGTTCAGCCAGCACAGACATCACTGATGCCCCAACCTTCTTTCTACGTGCTCTGAATGTTTCGATCATCTGTGCAAATTCAATCGCCTGCAAGTCTTCCCTAGTAGTGGCTGTCAAAGACTCTTTCCTCTGCCATTTCCTAGAAGACGCTATATCCTTTACCTTTAGCACATGAGCATCGTCGACGTGTTTCTTCCATCTCCCATTGTCAGGTTCTTGGTGGCATGGTAAGGGGCTCAGTCAAGAAGCGACAGTTGTGAAAAAACCAAATTCAATGAAAGATGCAATGTATTTGGCCACGTTTTTCGCCACTGCTTCTTACTTGGTGCAATTGCGTATCTGGGTGAATACAGTAACCCTAAGCTCAATTTCGTCTTCTAATGCAAACACAGGTTGTTGCTTCTCACACGAGTTAACATTTGTATACGTTACATTACCCATCCTATGAACGGCCTCGAAAAAGCCTCCTACTAGCGATTTCATCTCACCAGGAGAAATCCTTGATGGAATGGTAGGTTTGAACGGACTTCAATTCACTGATACACACGGTATGGTTCCCTTTTTACCGCAACAACTGCTCGTACTGCCTCCCTAAACGCCAAAGTTCTTTTCCGGTGAGGAGTTCGCTGAACCATTCCCATTACGACTAGTTTTTCTTGAACTTTAGCGTCTCTTCTCTAAAACTCGCCTCGATTCATCAGAAATAGAGTTTTGCAGTTTAGGAAAAGAATACAAACTCTTAAAAAGCCCAGTCTGCTGTATTTTTTGGGGGTGGAGCAAGTACGCTTTACCGGACACCGAACTCAAGCGTCGCAAAGGATGAGTAGAGAAAATACCAGAGAAAATTGTATATGGTATGTAAAATGGAGGTGGTGTAGTGGCAAGTGGCACACTATAATACACGCATGGTCATCGTCAAAGTACCGAATCGATATAAATCCGGACCAACCAAACCTTTCATTCCTCCTGGGTCGGTCAGTTGGATCCACATTCGTGTCGAAGTGCAGGAGGACCGACTTGTACATCGGTTGTCCACTGTGTCATTGTAAAGGACACACACGCATTTGATATCTCCTACGATTTTGAATGGAAGTCGAATGCGTGGGCGCATCTCTCAGACTAGACGCAAAGACTTTATCCATCATCATCTTTACCAGAAGAAGTAGGTACCTGAAGCTGGGCAATGTTGACATGGTGTAGAAGGCCCGTCGGGTAGATATTCCATGTTGCCTCCGTACGATTATAATATCATTGGGACTCCGTGCATGGAACTTAAAATTTGATGTCCTCTGCGTGCCTTTTGTAGCAGTTCATCGTCTGTTCAACAGGTAGTAAAGAATAGCTGGAGTATCGGGTCAGATCCGGTGGTATCGATCAGAAATCAGACGAAAAAATCAATCGGTGATTGATTTTTTTTAGAAAAGCGCATCAACGACTATGACGACGGCAACGTTATTCGATCCGGCAGCCATCAAGCAAGAATGCGAACGTATGATGGAGGTGCTACGTCGTGAACGTTCCAGTGAAGAAGAGCTCGCTGATGCTAGTGAAGTGGATCGTGAAATCGAAAGGCTCAAACGCGAGGTTGGTGTCCGTTTCGCTATGGCGGTTCCTCCTTTATTTTCCCTGTTGTTTATTTCTTATTTGTTCGCTACACCAATACACGCCCAAGCCATTAACCGTCCTTCCGGTGTCGGTTAATTGGAACCAACTCGTGTGGGAGGACAAAGCACTGACCTGTACATCGGCTGGCCCCTGCTATTCATTGTATAGGCCATATACGCATTCAAAACGCCACTACGATTTTGAGTAGATGTCGAAGGCGCGGCGCATCCCAGAAACTAATTTGATCGACACCAAAGACTTTTCTCAATATTTTACTTTTCAAGCGAAAGCGGCAGAAAAGGGAATGTCTGTAGGAGTCCTTGTTTCTTTGGTTGTTTTGTCAAGATCCTTTCTTTGCGACTCGAAACCCGTTCCGGCATTGAAGGTTTCGTTCAACGATAAAGGAGATAAATGTCAATGATTTCAGAAGAAAACATTGATGATGAAGGTCTTCATAAAATGGCTATAAAGTGAAAATCACATTTAAAAGAATGAGATTCCGACAAAAACATTAAACGATCTCCTTGAGAAACGCCGACGCTATCAGCTCGTTCACACATAAGGAAATCTCGTACGACCTGAGTGTCGCTACACTACCGTCTTCTCGTCAGTTCGTTTTCAGGCTCCACCGTTTATTCGTTTGTTGNATGTCAATGATTTCAGAAGAAAACATTGATGATGAAGGTCTTCATAAAATGGCTATAAAGTGAAAATCACATTTAAAAGAATGTGATTTTGGCAAAAACATCAAACGATCTCCTTGAGAAACGCCGACGCTATCAGCTCGTTCACACATAAGGAAATCTCGTACGACCTGAGTGTCGCTACACTACCGTCTTCTCGTCAGTTCGTTTTCAGGCTCCACCGTTTATTCGTTTGTTGTTGATCAAGTCTTCACCATACTATTCTATTCACTCTTGAAAGTGCTCTCCACTAGGAACTATGCCCAACGAACTTTCCAGCTACAGGTAGAATTTCGCCGGCTATTCGTTACTCGGGATGGATGTGGCGTAGTGACCATCACTGTCATCATCCTCGTCCTGAGATCGATACTCGCCCAAGACAATCAAACCTATAATTCGGTCGAGGGAACATTCCTGATGGACGTCACCAAAAATAAGTGAAGGGACTTTGGCGAAGTTTTTTTTGCGACAATGCGAGGAATTTAGCTTTGGTAACATTGGTTTTGTGGCATCATTGGTGATACCATTTCGCTTTCTTCTGAGGACTTCTTGTAGCTTCTTTTATGATCATTTTATAGTCAGAGCTCTTTTCGTTCTAGCTATATAACCTCCCACGATTCCGAAATGCTAGGCGTTTCAAGAACTTTCACCCTCCAGAATCTTATCTAGCGCAGTCATCTGAGTTGGCATCGAATTCATCACTTTATGATCCTAATTCGGAGATATTCTGATGATAGGCGTATTTTTCATGGCTGAATCATAACGTTAGGAGAAGACTCGTGAACTGAACGTCACCCATATCGTACTTGCCAAATACCTACCTATGATAGATACCTTCGATTCTTGGTCATATCCAGACATCCAGCTTCTTGAACTCTCCTCTTGGCTGAACATTTTCTCCAACTTTCAGAAATCCCAGTGTTAGTCAACTGCGCATTCGAGTTCTTCTAAGAGTTGGCCTAATGCTGAAGTCATGGCGTATTCTGAGAGTCAAACTATTGATGGATCTTCATTCTTCTGTCGGAGGTTTCTTAGCTATCTCTCTGACTTTCTCATGTTGTTCGTCGTATTATCATAAAGCATGACGGGAAGTGACGAACTGTGGACCGGTTATGGCGAACGCGCCGGTCGGCAGTGTCCACGGAAAGGCGGGGTTAACGGACGGCTAGCCGGCGGCTCCTCCTCCTTTCTGATACAACCAGCCGGTTGGGTTAAATCTAGCCGATTTCCCCACTTGATTTGTGATCAACTAGGGATTCATTGCTTCTTAGTCGATGAGTTCTGAATAGAGCACTCTTCTCTTGTACTTCAAGATTCCTTTTTTCTGAGTCCGCTTTCATCCCCTCAATGTTTGCCTTTCTATAGGGCACCTTTTCCTCGAAAGGCTTAAGCCTCGTACTAACTCGACGTATGTGACGTAATAAAAGTGATCAAATGATGAAATTGCTGGCGTTGATCCAATCCCGTTCCAGGATGCGCCCATGTACCCATCATCCACACGGGATATGGGAGATGTGATGATGATCGGATGTGTTTTATTTCTTACGGATTGAATTGGGTATCTGACAGACAAGCTAATCAGCTCATTTCCATAGATGAATCTGATGTGGACAAGCTGACCAC